ATCGTGGTGACGCCTGCCCGTTGGAGCTCGTGTTGGGCCACAAGATTGTGGCGTAATGTGGGAACACACATGCCGGTGATACTGCCTGAAGGGAAAGATTGGGCACGGAACTGTGGAGGAGCCCTTGGCGTGTATTGTGAAACTGGAGTCTGCTCCTAGTAGAGAGATTGGTGTCTCGTATGGCTTGAAGGAGTGTTCTTCCTTGAGAACCATGTGAGTGGCCCCACTGTCGAGGGTGAACTCTATTGTGGCCGAGGTGCTTTGTGAGTCGGGACACTGCGAAATTGTCTCATTAATCATGGCAGTGCTAGGGAACAACATGTTGAGGCGCACATCAGCAGGGGGAGCTACAGCAGCCTGCACGGATTCCTGCGCTTCGACTTGATTGACCTTGCGAGGAGCACGATTGACCATCCAGCTTGGCGGCTTCGAGGCGGTCCCATTGACGGCATACCACTCGTCATCCTTTTTCTTGAAGCAGGAGGCAAGGGCGTGGTTGGTGCCGCCACACACTTGGCGAGCACGGGGGCCGCGCTTGATGACGTAGGGACACGGGGGGAAGCGGTTGCGCTGGAATGGTGCCGAAGCGGCATAGGCTTGGGGCAGGGGAGTACGGATTGCATTGGCCTTGGCTTGAGTACTATTGTCCTTTTCGGCAGAAAGAAGTGCAGATGAGACCTTAGCAAGGCCCAAGAGCAAGAGCAAGGCCCAAGAGCATCTTGCGTGTGACTTCGTATGCCGGAGTGAGGCCGACTAGGAGAGGTGCTGTAGGGGCTTGCTCGGGGAAGACTATCCCCAACTTCTTGAGTTCACCATGAATGGACTGCACCTTGGTGACATAGTCCGCCATGCCTGGCGAGTCCTCGAGACGCACTTGGAACATGCTGGGGATGAGTATAGCAACTCCCACTGCAGTCTTGTTCAGGAAGCGGTCTTCAAGGTAGAGCCAAATGGCGTTGGCAGATGGGTAGTTGTGGCGGTGGTCCAATATTTTGAGGGGGAATTATTGGGTGTCCCAAATAATTGTGGACCCAACCAAATTGGGAACCCAATACCTCCAATTAGGGTTATTACACCTTAATAGTAGTGGAGTGCTTTACTCTACCCAAGACTAACAAATCTATGTAGACTAGTGAACATAGTAGGATATTCTAATATTGGCTCCATTTCTTTTGGTTCCCATTGATCATGGCCATCATCGTTTGCACTTTCCTGACTTCTCTATCTACGCTGTGTTCCGTTGCTGCCCACTCTGATTCTTTTCCTGCAGTAGTGCAACCCGGGGCAACCAAACGGCGATCTCCCTCTCTTGCTCACCACTGCTGTCTATCTCCTTGAAAGGGCTGTGATTCACGTGTGTGCAGCCATCACCAACCTTCGCAACTTCGTCATCCCCATCTCCCTTGCTGATCTCCAACTGGATTACCGCCATGCCTTTGCTCTCTGCACCCACCTACTTCAGTCAGATTGCAGAAACACTCCAGGCAGCTCCCATCACCTCAGAAGCCAGTTGGCTTGCCTGCAAAGGCTTATCAAGTCCCTTCTTCAGCCGCACGATGCATTACAGCAGCAGTGGTGGTCAAGTTTTGAGGCTGGTGTTGACATTAGCCTGCTCGCTCGTCCTCATTTCATCCGCCAATGTCCTGGCTTTCCAAAGCAGCACGGCCAGCTTCCTCCATGGATTGTGGCGCTCCAACAGGCCCCTATTGCATCGGCTTCCACGCCTCGTCTGCACGAGAATCGGGTCCGTTTGGGGCGGAAATCGGCCCAAGCCCAACGAATTGCATGACTGCTTTTCCCGGGCCATGTTCCAGCTTGGTGACCCGTGGATTGTGCTCCGGAGGAAAGGCTCTCCCTTTTTCCATAGGTGCCGATGGCTTGCGAATCTGAGGAGGCTCAACGTGGAGAAGAGCCTGGTTCGGAGTACAACGCTTGGGGGTGCGGCCGATGCGGGAGAGGGGTGGGTGCCAGGAGTGGATACGTGTGTTTTTTCTCTGGTGGAGCTGACGGGACAAGAGCCAGCAGGGTCTGTTGGTAGTGATGCAATTGCCGACTGGGAGACGGAGGGAAGGGAGGGAGAATGGGATGAGGAAAGGGAGGATTGTAGAGGAGAGAGGTCTGAGGAGTTGGGGGGAGCTGAGGAGAGGCTGGGTGAAGAGGAGGCTCAGTAGCAGGAGGAGTAGGAGGAAGAGGAGGAGTTTGATGTAGAGAGGATGGTAGGGGAAGAGTGGTACGCGAGTGTTGATTCTGTCGCTGGAAAGGAGAGAGGGTTTGAGAGAGGGAGTGGGGAGGTGGAGATGGGGTGTGGGGAAGCAAGGGAGGGTGATGAGCGAGAGGAGGTGGATGGAGTGAAGATTGCTGTTTAGGTCACTGCAACCTTAAGGCAGCTTTTTCTATAGGTAGGGGGGTTACTGTAGTGTGGGTGGTTGTGATGTAGGTACTCTGAAGCTAACGCGTTGCATTAAGCTTATTCACCTAAGGTGTGCATGGAAACCATGGTTTCGTCTCTTTTAAGTTGTTCGAAGAAAGAACACATTTCTTTGCCTCTTGTGGTCCAGCATTTTCGAGCACACAACTCCATCGTCCCATTCCAGCATCGTTCTTGACGCTAGTATTCCCTTTCATTCCTGCCAGGCAAGGGAGTGGCTTCAACAGGAGCTGTCACCTCTGGAGAGGAGTCGCAGGGAGGCCAAGAGGAGCCTCACTGTGCTGCTGCACGCCTGCAGCAAGGCTGTGAGGGGGTTCTACATCACGGAGAATTTGGACCATGCCTGCCCCCTTGAGGTAAGACTCACTTCTGTACCTCTTTGTGGACCTTCTCCACAATCCACGGGTCACCACCTAGAACGCGGGTTCAGTCTCTCTCTCCCACCCTCCCTCCCTCTCTCTCCCTCTCTCACTCCCCTTCCCTCCCTTCCTCCCTCAACCCCTCCGCTTCCGCCTCCTGTCCTCTCTTTCTCTCCCCCCCCTAACTCCCCCTTTCCCCCTGCCACTTCCCTTCCCTCTCTCTCCAGTCACTTCCCATCACACACTCGTCCAAAGTAGGTCCCTTCCCTTCCGCTTCCACCCCCGCCTTGAGGCGTCTGTACAGCCATCCATGTGTGCCTCCATTGCCGTACGCACTTCAACGCATTGGCGTTTCTCGCCCGTGTGCATGGTGCAGGTCTCGCGGTGAAGTCTCGTCTCGGCAGAGCGCAGGGAGACCAGGAGCAGGCAGTGAGGCAAGACGGAGGGGGGCAGGCGAGGGGGCATGGAGGGATGATGGGGTCCACAGCTGTTTCTTCATCAGAGGAGCGGATTGAGAGGGACGAGCAATTGCTAGACGATGCGGCGGACGCTGTAGAGGGGCTTGAGGCTGCCTTGGCCGCTCTGCACCATGCGTACGTGGATAAGCAGAGGATGTGTCTGCATTGCCTTGCCATGCCGTGCCTTGCTGCTCTCCTTCTGCTGTCGTGCTGTGCTCTTGCTGCATCCGCTTGTCTGTTTGGTTGCTGAATGGTTTACTGTTGACAGCTAAGAGGAGAAAGTCGAGATGCCATGTCTGTGTGAGAGAGGGGGGAGGGGAGGGAAACCGGGCGGGTGGTGATCGTGAGTAGCCTGTAAAGTTGACTTGTACACGTCATCTCGGGTTCTCCCTGTCATCAGTATCACATCTCTCCCTTCCCCTGCCTTTTAATTCCGCTCGGATACCTGTGTCACTTTCCTTAGCTGCCACTCCTGTTCTTTTGTCTCGTTTCTTCTGTTCTCTGTAGTCGCATCAATCTGCTGTCACAGCACTGGCCTCTCTGTCACTTGTGTGGTACCTCCTCCCTGCGATACAGGCATACAGGCCACACATCTACATCAGTAGCATGGTTGCATCACACAGCTATACGGCCTCGTTCGGCCCTCCTATCACAAAAGCAGCACTCCTTGGAGCGGCCTCTGAGTCAAATGTTGCCGTCTCTTAGTACATAGCCAAGAGCCAGACGGTTTTGGGAAGAATGACAGTGAAGGGGGAGTAAAATAGCCTGGCGGTTGGGATGGGGGGAGGGATACTAGAGGACTTAGATGGGCGTACTCCTACGAAACCGGATCAGGATCTGGTACTGTGCGGTGCAACTGTTGGAATTGCCTTTCGGTGCAGTTAATTTTGGTTCGCGCAAGTCTGATCATGATCCTGGTGCGCAGGAAGAGGCCCTTTGTGAAAATCGGTAGATCCAACAGGAAGCAAAAAATAAAAACGCTAAGGGCAAAGCTGCCATACCGGAATTCCTGGCTAGCAACAACCCCATCCCATACACTATCATGCTCAAATAGCGTGCCTACACTACCCTCTCTACCCCCAACATGGCCATGCTCACAGTGACGATTTGCCAGAGTAATCGCAATGTTTTTTGTTCATCCGCCAACCCCTTGGTAGACCAAAGCCAAGTTAAAATACATATTCCACACACTTATTCACCTCCGCAGCGCCCGCACCCGCCACATGATGCCCCAGACTTGTCACCTCTTGCCTCTCCGGCAGCGCGCTCGCACCCTCTGCATCATCGCCCACATCCCCAAAGCCTTGTACTTCCCCGCCTTCAATTCCTCCCTCCTCCCATACAGCCTGCTGCATCTCCTCCTTGGACCCCTACTTGAAGTACCCCCCTGCAATCTCTATACAACATTCAACATTGCCAGCCCCTCATCTTCCTGTGCTTATAACAAAGCCCTCAGTCTAGCACACTTCCGTAGCAGTTCCCTCAGCGCTGCTATAGTCTCCGCCTCTATTGGCTCGTCTACCCCTGCCGCCCACGCCACCAGCCACAGTCCGCACCATGTGTCCACTACTGATTGGCCCATGGCCCAGTCCACTTGGGTGCACAGAAGGGTGGCTCAACCAATAGTGTCGCAGTGCAGCACCATCCCGGGCAATGGAGCGAGCTGATTGGCCAGGCCCGGGAGCACGCACTCCATGGCTGCCACGTCAGCATCTGACGGCCATGGCACGGGCATGGATGGCTGTGCATGTGCGTGCATGTGGGAGCCATCAGCGGCAGCATGTTCTAGGTTACTGCTTTCATCATCAGGCGGTAGCCACAGAGGCAGGGGACCGGAGTAGTTGATCATCTCATCCAGTGCAGCCTCAACTTCAGCATCCACCTCGGGGTCATCTTCCATGTCTACGTCTCATCAGCATCCAAATCAACGTCTACATGAGCACTGAAATCAGCATCGACGTCAGCCATATTGTTATCCTCGGCCTCAGCCAATGTAGCATCAGCATCTGTAGCATCAGCGGCTGTAGCATCAGCAGCTGTAGCATCAGCGACTGTAGCATCGGTGCCTGTAGCATCAGCGGATGTAGCATCGATGGCTGTAGCATCAGCAGCAGTAGCATCGCCGTCTATAGCATCAGCAGCTGTAGCATGAGCGGCTGTAGCATCAGCGGCTACAGCACCAACACCGGCAGCATCAGCATTGGGTGTCACTCCCGTATCTTCACTGGATCCATCGTACCTCCCACCTGCAGCACCCCAGCCCATCCCATCCATCCCATCCTTCACACCAACATCCTCGGCTACCACCCCTCCTGCAACCACCCTCTCCCCATCCTCCCCCATTCTCTGCAGTCCTTTCTCCTCCTCCCCTTTCGCTCCTCCCCCCTCACCCTCCCCTGCACCTTTCAGTGCCTCTTGCCCTTTGCTGCACCCCTCCCTGCCACTGCAGCCCGCCGCACACAGCTCCTCTGTGCCAAGCGTTCCTTCTGGGACCTTGTGCTGGCCACGCAGCCCCTTGTCAGTCAGCCCTTCCGTGTGTCCTTCAGTGAGGTCATGCTTGCGCCCAATTGCACACTGCTGCTGCAGTGTAAGGCCTCTGGGGGGCTGGGGAAATTCGTCACTCTACCGTAGCAGCTGCAAATTGGTTGGGAACAACCAAACTGGGTTGGCAAGGGTGGCCAACTTGGTTGGATTGGTTGGGAAGGGACAAATGTCAAAGTTGGGGTTCCTATAGGGAGGGAATCTTTGTGCTTATGGGTTTTCCTTGGTTGGGGACTCTCTTGGGACCTTCTCTCTCATCCCTCTCTTCCCTTCCAACCTTTCTCTTGCTCCTCTAATTCCTTGAGAGTTTATTGAACCTTGATTGAAGTTTGAGATTGAGTTAAGTTCTGCTCCTACAGCATACCCCCCTAAGCATCGAAATTCATAGTGTCGCGAATACTCCATGAATCAATGTGATTCGAATTGGGAACGGTACCTGCGATTACGAGCTACAAAATATCCAAGTTTCGCGACATTCCAACAGCTACTGTTTTGTCGACGACGTTTCTTGTGGGCACGACTTTTCTGTCCAAAATTTCGGATTTGTATTTTGAGAAATTCTAGCTCCCAAGTTCACCTAGACTCCATCCTTAAATCTAACAAGTGGTATCAGAGCCATTTTGCGGACAGTGCGAGGATTCTACAGAATTGTGAAGACCTTTTTAGACCCACCATGGCTTGTGGGTGTGCCTAGGTGGTGTTCTAAAGGTTGGATGTGACTTCCGCTAAGGGGAAACTCTGCCGAAATTTCGTGGGTGTCGACACTAGTGAAAATATCGAGGGAGCTGAGTGAGGACAGCAAAGGGGAGCTGAAATTCGTCATTTTCAAGAAGAGGATGAATGAGAGAGGAGGAGATGCTAATGGAAGGGGAGCTGTACCTGAGAAGACAAGTGAGCCGCCACCATCCAAAGTTGAAGCGTTGGATGGCTCCAACTATGAGGAATGGAGCGGTCGGATGAGGAGTGCCTTCAAACGCTATAAGCTACTGAAGATTGCTGTTGGGGAGGAGAAGATGCCGGAAGAAGGCGAAGCACGTGAACGGTGGATTGAGAAAAGCGCGGTGCTTTTCAACCTCATCCTTCAATCGGTCAACAAGGAGATGTTCGAGCACATCAAGGATCTTGTGGAAGCGGATGATTCGGGTCCAAGGGCATGGAAACTGCTACACGATGTGATTCAGCCCAACACTCTCCCGATTGTGATCGTACTCGAGAAGGACGTTGCTGCCATCTCCATGCGACCGGGGGACGATGTGAAGCCGATCCTTGACAAGATCAATGACACATATGTGAGGATGGCACCTTTCTCAGCTGCAGCAGTGCACCAAGATCATCTCAGTGTTGGACAACTCTTGGGACAACCTCATCCCCACCCTCAACTCTCAGCAAGACTAGTGGACACCTAAGTGGCTAAGGCAGCAGATTCTGCAGGAAGATTTCCGCAGGCGCAATGTGGGAGGAGGTGCTGCCAGTAAGACTGCTGAGGGGTATAGAGCTGCAGGGTGCGGCAAAGGAAGAGGGGGCTGGAGAGGCCGAGGCCGTGGGAGGAACTTTGGCAGAGGTAGAGGCTGAGGTGACTAGAATGAGGGTCATGGGAGCTCTAGTGGCAGGGGGAGTACCAGAATGGAGGGCACCTGCTGGTACTGCAAGAAGGTTGGGCATGCTTGGCTCAAGTGCTTCAGCAGGCCGGAGGGATGGGCACCTCCAGGCATGAAGCCGCCCAATAGTGAACGCGCACAAGGTGGCGCTGTGCAAGGCTCAGGTGCACAAGGTGAAGGTGCACAAAGTAATGCCTATCCTAGGATGTTTCTCATGGTTGAGGATGTACATGGGCATGAGGGTGATGTGGGATCTGTAGGAATGGTTGTGATGCACCCTCTCACGCACTGGGTAATTGACTCTGGTTGCACCAGTCACATGACCCCTCAGGCAGATTTGCTTGATGAGGTAAAACCCCCTGGGAATATCAAGTTTGTAGCAGCAGCGTCAGGTGCTTTGCTTCCCGTGATTGGTGTTGGAAATGCCAAGTTTAAGGGAGCTAATGGGGAGCTTTTGGGGCTTGGAAATGTTCTGCTGGTTGAAGGTTTGTCTGCTAACCTTCTTTCTGTTCGGCGATTGTAGAAGAGCAAGGCCAAAGTGACCTTTGGACCAACCAGCTGCCGTGCTAAGCTTGGGAAGAAGGTGCTATGGATTCTGGAAGAGGAGACCAGCTGCATCAAGGACCTGTGGCAGCTGCCGGTCGTCCCTTGGAATGGGAAGGCTCCAGCAGCAGCAACGGCAGCAGCGACAAAGGCACTGCACCAACTGATGGGGTCCTGGAAGCAGTCAAGAACGTGCAGCAGCAGCAGACACATGGTGAGGTGCTTGCTGATGTGGATGCCAGCATGGCATGGGCTAAAGCTTCATCTAGGAGTGGTGAGGCCGATTGGGAGACATGGCATGAGAGGCTGTGTCATGTGAACTTTCCTATGCTGCAGAAGTGAAGGATGGGAGCGTGAAGGGCTTGGAGGTGAAAGGGGGAGTGAAGGAGATTGGGAGCTGCCCTACATGCTTGGATACCAAGTTCTCCAAGTTCCCCTTCAACAGTGCAACAGGACCAGCCAAGATCCCACTTGCACTTATGCACATGGATGTGGTGGGGCCCACAAGAGCCCCTTCCCTATCAGGCAACCGCTATTTTTTTGCAATTGTGGATGACCACACTCGGGCAGTGTGGGTTTACCCTTTGAACAGCAAGGGGGAGGTGGCAGTGGCTGTACTTAAGGAGTGGATGCCTAGAGCTCAAAGGGAGTGCGGACACAAGGTGAAGGTGATCTAGAGTGACAATGGTGGGGAGTTCATTGGAGCTGATTTTGAGGGGGAGCTAAAGAGGAAGGGGATCCAGTATCAACTGACAGTGCCCTACAACCCGCAACAGAACGGCGTGGCTGAGAGGTTCAACAGGACGCTGCAGGAGGGGGCACTCACTCTCCCAGGGCATGCAGGACTACCTGATCCGTTTTGGGTGTCTGCACTGAGGTAGGTCGCCCTTGTGAAGAACAGGGTGCTGGCTATAGTTGGGGATAAGGAGTGGATCCCATATACCAAGTGGTATGGGAGTGCTCCAGCTGTGAACATGATGAGGGCATTTGTGTGCATGGTGGTGTTTCATGTGCCTAAGGAGAAAAGGGGGAAGTTGGAGGCTTCTGGGAGATGGGGTGTGCACTTGGGGATTGCAAAGGATCACAAGGGGTGGCTGCTATGGGACTTGACTTCCCAGAAGTTGACAGTGTCAAGGGATGTGAAGTTTCTTGAGTCCCTGTACTACAAGGAATGGAAGCAGCAGCAACAGAAGCTTCCATCTACACCGCTCATTGTGGAGGCGGATGATGTGCACCTGCCTTCAAGACAGGTGGAGGTTGCATTGTCTGAGGAGGAGATGTCTGGGGTGACTGAGGAAGGGGGAGAAGCTGAGGTGGAGCAGCTGCAGCAGAAGCAGCAGCCTGATTCTCCACCTCGAGTTCCACACCCGCCTGGGCGTCCTAGGAGGGATGTGCGCTCTCCAGTGAGGCTGGCCTATGGGGGAAGAGGCAAGCCAAATGTGGTGCGGGCTGGGAGTATGGTTGAGCAGATCGAGGAAGATGAGACTGCTCACTGCTATAAGGCACCAATCCCTGAGCCCAAGACTCGAAGTGAGGCCTTGAATGGACCAAATGGGGAGAAGTGGAAGGCAAGTGAGGATGAGACCTGTGTGACTTGCCTCCTGGGAAGAAGGCAATCACTTCCAAAATGATCTACACGCACAAGTATGGACCTGAAGGGGAGCTGACCCGCTACAAGTCCAGGCTAAAGGCAAGGGGGTTTCAGCGAACAAAGGGAAAGGACTATGATGAGGAGTTTTCTCATATGGGGAAAGGAACAACACTGAGGGTGCTGTTGGCGTCGCGTATACTCCATCAATTAACTTGATTCGAATTGGGAGCGGTAGCTGAAATTACGAGCTACAACATATCCGAGTTTCGCGACATTCCAACGACTAGTTTTTTGTTGACGACGTTTCTAATGGGCACGACTTTTCTGTCCAAAATTTCAGATTTGTATTTTGAGAATTTTTAGCTCCCAAGTTCACCTAGACTCCGTCCTTTATTCTAACATCGCCTTCCGTCTACCCACCCCACCCCCCTCGCCCTCCTCTGCCCCACTGGATGGTAAGGCCCGCCCAAAGCAGTAGGAGTGCCATGCGTGCAGGTCGCGGTGGGACGGGATGGGCATGCCGTGATACATGGCGACACGTTATTCCTCAATGCCTTCCAGGAACTGTGAAGGATG